TGCGTGAAAGGCACTGCGCGCTCCTCTTCTCAGAGACTGAGTTCACCCTCCCGCTGCCTCCTGGTGTTGCAGAGATTTCATTCTATAGAGCAGCTGCGGGCAGCAGATGCTGTGAGTGTCACAGACATGAATACTTAGATCAAGGCAGACTGGTGCACACACTCTCCTGTTTTGCCAATCCGGTGGTTAAACAAATATAGCTCTACACCCTGGCCGAAATGTCCTTAAAATTAAGTCCAAGTTCGACATTTTAATTAATGTCCTGCCAACACTGGCAGGGACAGAATGCGACACGCCCGTTCTAAGCCGTGTCCCTCACTCCTCACATCCCAAGCTGCATCCCCAAAAAGTTTATTATGTTTTTACATCGTTTCAGATGTTATGTTTCGGTTGTGCTCTTGATAAGCCATTAAAAGAGTAAAAACACGTTCAGTTTCCTTTTGCTTTTTGTGTCTCATGTACACCAAAACTATACCCATCTGTGATGGAAAAAGAAAGTAATCCAAAAGTAATCTAAAAGTAATCTGATTACTTTTTTAAGACACGTAACTGTATTCGGATTACTTTCAGAGCCATATGATCAGTAATCAGTAAGTGATTACATTTACAAAGTAACCCTCCCAACCCTGCCCACACACACACGCACGCACGCACACACACACACACACACACACACACACACACAGTTTAATTTACACTTTTAATAACTGATCTGACAAATGTCTGATTCTTAATGTGGAGGCAGTTCGTTCAGTGACCACCAGTGGGTGCTGCAGTTGCTGTTGGAACTTTGTAGGACTGCCAATTTGGAAAATATAACCAGTTGAAGCATTTTGACTGTCATGCAATTTGATAATGATTTGCAATATTGGAGGTATTGATCATTTGTGCATCATTATAATGACTATCATTGAAAAAGATATTAATATGATCATAGTGTGATTTTAAAAAATAAAGAAAGGATCTGTACCAGGTTTATATACAATTTGTAGGCCAAGTTATCTGTACAGCTCCAATACACTAAATAAAAATAGTTTTTTACCACATTTAAGAAATGTTGTGCTTCCTGCAATTTGAATATTGCAATTGACCATTTTGCAGTTTTGTTACAATTATATGTACAGCTGTAGAACTGTGCATGGTCTATTTTACTCTCATGTATGAGACCATACAATGATAATGTTTCATCAGATGATAGGAATTAGTATACAGATTCATTTGTATATTTGTATGTACATAAATGGCTATCCCTGTAATTTATTTGGTTGTGATCTTTCTTAGGGCTGCTTTATAAATGGCATTGGGTTTTATATATGTTTAGCATCAATTTGTTGAATACCATGATTTGCCTCCATTGGACTCCTTTGTTTACTTCCAGAACATAGAAACATCATATTAACACTCGCGCTTCTACTGGCTAGCGCTCCAACTCATTGTAAGTGATAGGTTAAGGGGCGGGACATCTCTAAGCAGCTGACCAATCACAACAGAGCCGGCCAGCTAACCAATCAGTGCAGACTGGGCTCTGGTTTCAGACAGAGGGTGAAAAGAGGTGCTGCAGCACAGCATGGTAACATGTCACAGTAGAGGCACTTAATATGAATATGAACCTGATGATGAGCCAGGACCCCTTTAAGACACTCTGTCACCAGTATTATGCCAACATGACCAGAATCACTCGAATAATTGTATCTTTGTATCAAATCCTGATATCTGATCTGGTAAAAACTACATCAACTATTCCTTTGCCTTTTAAAACTTTATATCTGCTTTATAGTATTTGTTGTTTCCATAATTCAACACTTTATTAATATATTTTAGGTTCACAGAACAAATTAAACAAACTTTAACATTATAAAACCCCAACAACACCCTTAAGGCCTCATTGCAATGTTCATTTGTATTATTATAGAAATGCATATGCAGGCAATTTCTAACCATCCAACTGGCTAGCTCATGTGCATTTGTGAATCTATAATCTTCTATTCTATTAAACTAACTATTTGTCTTATCATCTTGTTGTTGCCTGCACAGTAAATCCTGATGTTATTTATGGAAGATATTTTGTTTACCAAAAATAAATGACAGATCATGTGCTGTTTTTCACAGACTGGGAATTGGATGATGTCTTCATGCAGGAGTAGAACACGGTGTGCTGTGTGCTGACTGTTTCATTTCAATTTGAGTACAACTAAGCCCTGCTGGACAACACTCAAGTGCACGGTCACACTCACGGACTTTGTGTTCTGTTCCAAAATAGCCTCATTATATACACTCTTCACTGAGTAAAGTGAGATGTTTATTCATTTCATTTAATCAAATTAGAAGACATTTTAAACCTTCATAATTTATATTTTTATATCGACAATGGCTCAGTGTGGGGGGATCTTTCCCTCATAGGTTGGTTGTGACCAAAACAGAGCTAAAAGTTTTGTGAAGATTCTCAATGTGGCCGAAAACACAACTCCACTTGCTTACAAGTTTGATTTATAATCTTTCAGAATTGAATAAACTGCAAAAATAGACTACTTTTCTTAATCAAACGTTTGTTTTGTCACCAGTTTTAAACCCGCCCCAAGAATCGTAATCAAGAACCGTTAAAAGCCTATATATTGAATTTTCCATACCTTTAGAAATAGCAAATTCTTAATTTCTAGTCGGCAACTGGTCCCATCTTAACTAGGGAAACTATTTGTCCTTGAGTACTTTGATTCATAATTTAGCATGCAGTTGACATACCACTAATTTTGTTCTAATGAAAACTCAACTCCTGGCATTTGCTCCCGGTGTTCTTCAGCACTGTTTTAAAAAACTGAAACGGAAGTGACAGGCGAATAAGTTTTACAGGTAAATGTGGTCTAATTTATTCTGATTTATCTGGATTTTGAAGAGTAACTGAGAAATATTTGGACTGAATGTAGTGTGCATGCTGTATAGTATATGAACATGTCCATTACGTAACGTTATTGGTAGAAGGTTTTCTGTCGATTTTTTATAAGACTTTAAAAGGTGGCAGGCAGGTATCTTTGGGAATTTGGCAGTTGTCATACTAAAGTAATTGAGTCAAATTGACAAAGCGTTGATAAGAAAAAACGTTGATCATGCTCTAAAAAGACACATGTGCAGTGATGTGTAAACGTTTATTTATTCATCATGTGACTTTGTTAGTTCTTGCACTTTTCCTCAGACAGAATTCCAGCTGGTGTGTGTGTGTGTGTGTGTGTGTGTGCGTGCGTGTGTGTTTTGGTTTTGGGGGATTAAGTTCAAATGTTTTCTCTCTAACATTGTCTCCTTTAGTGAATGTGTCTCTGTAGGGGTGGCCTGCAGGAAATACCAGGAGATTAATCCCTGTGCCTCTGGCTGGGTGAGTTTGTATGTTTCTGTGTTTGGGTGGAGGGTTTGTGTATTTATGTAGTGTGTGGATGTGTGTATGTGAGAGTGGGGGAGAAATTACTGGTTATCCTGTAAATGTTTGTGTATATGCACACGGTGAGTTCGATAGTTTAAATTACACGTGTTTATGTTTTCAGGAAGTAGTGGGCCCGGACCCCACATTTCCGACGTGTGTGAGAATCTTTGTGTGTCAGTCAGAAAATCATGGGGCCATGAATGTTTACAGGTGCATGTAGGCCGCTGTAACATTTATGTGTGTGTGTATGTACCCACACAAGGGGGGATAAAGAGTCACTCATGGGGCCAACATGTTCATTGATGAGCAGTGAGAACTTAATGAAGCAGCTTTTACTTCCCGGCCCCTCTGAGCTCTTTCAGTGTAAAGGGAGAAGATGGAAGGGGGGGGGGTTACTACTGTCAGAAGTAGATCCTCCACTGTTACTTTCTTTTTATTCTTTGAGGAGGGAAATGTGTGGGAGGTCAAGGGTGGGATTGAAAATGTTAAAGGACTGTCAAAGATGATCAAAGGATAAGTCTGGGGGATATTCTATATTTTTCTTCCCCTGTTCCAACTAATCTACTATTTAAAGCAGATACATAAGCCACGGTTGCACTGTGTGACATGTTCCTTTTTTTACAAACACACACGCTGTTGTTTATGTTTGAATAAATCCAACATTCACCGTGCTGCTCTCATAAATACCCACTAGCATATCAAATGTTTTTAATCCGCTGCTGTAAATAGACCCGAACATGTGCTATTTCTGTTTGCCAATCCTCTACTTATAATAACTTTTTTAAATGTTTGACTATATGTATTTTATTAGCAAAGCATTGACTTGGAGCTGCGTCCAAAACTACTAAAGGATAGATTAACATTGTTGATTTGGGTTTTCATCTTAAAATGTGTTGATATTTAGAAAGAAATGGAAGCCTGTACTTGTCTTCCTTAAATTGTCACATTGAGATGACAACTCAACTCTTTTGATATTGTGCGGATCATTGATTCCAGAAACACATAATGATACATGTACAGTATATTTGACGTATTCAGTTGCTATTAGTTTACCTTAAAAATCAGTATTTATTGAAGTCTAGTGTCAGCCTCTTTCAATTTCACTGAATGGGGATAATGTGCAGAGTATAGTTTGTTAACATTTCTGGAGAGTGATGGTCGTACAAAGCATCAAGAAATTTCCAATAAAATTAGGAAAATCTTTCAATCTAAATAGCAGGTGTCTTTTTTGACATCCAACATCTATAAAATCATTATAGTATTCCAGGGTCAGGAGGAATAATAAAAATAGCAGGGGGAGACAGGGTTCATCAAATATGAAAAGGGTCTCAATACAGAAATACACAGGAAAACTATGCAAGACAGAGACGGAGGGAGGGGGAGGTGAAGTGCGACGGATGCTGAGGGGGTTCGAACAGGGAGGGGGGGGGGATCAAGGAATGAATGAAAGAAATTAAAAGTGGGGAGACTTAGAGGGGTAAAGAGGGAGGGAGACTTGGGATGAGAGAGAGTGAGGGAGAGGAGGGGCAAAAGAGATGGATAATAAGCACCACACCCCCTCCCCTTTACTCCTGTGGAGCCGTGGGGGCAGCCCGACCCCCCCCAAAAGAGCTTTGTGAAACTTTCACCGACAGAGGAGAAGAGAGACAGAGTGAGCGCAGAGGAGAGGCAGGCAGTATCACATTCAGAGGAGAGGTACACGAAGAGAGTGAGGAAGAGTGAGGAAGACGAGAGGGTTTACGTGCAGGGAAGTCATGGTTGAGCAGGCAAACCTTCTCCTGGCTGGATTATACTTCAGGAAGCCCACCGGTGTGTAGCAGCAGCATCTCTCCTGCCGTCAGCATGCCGTCTGTGTCCCTCAGCCTGCCTGCAGCTCTGGCCGGACCCCCCCGCACCTGGGTCTGCCTGTCCTGCATGTTCTGGGTGAGCTTCCTTTTCAACCGGAATTAACATTTTTTAGAGCTCTTTTAATTTCAATTCTAAGGATTTCAAGATTTGCAAACACAGTTGCAGTTCCTGGCGATGGGGGTCCCAAGTGCAACATGCAACTTACTTATAAAAAGAAAGTGCAATGCATGTGACACAATGGTGCAAGTCAAATGCAGGAATAAATAAACGATGCAAACAAAATCTGGATCAGGATTGATTTGTAACAGGACTTCTGTAATTTCTACGCACAGTTAGCAGAACTATAACCTTGTAAATCTAATAACTCTCAAACTTAAATTGTGTCATTTACACCGTATTAGAGTAATGCATTATTGACTGAATCAGCTTGATGAGTTTGTTTTCATTTTGTACCACATTGATAAAGCTATTCAAATCAATGAATAGGGATCAAAGGGATTCCAATGTTGTTGGCAGTCTCATTTTCCTCCAACCCTGCAACATGCAACTTATACTTCAAAATACATTTAAAAAAAGTGCTTGGGACACAATGGTGCAAGTCAAATGCAGGTTAACAATGCACATGTCAAATATATTTTCTGGATCAGGATTGATTTATAACTGTCAGCACAGGACTTCTGTCACTTCTATGCACAGTTTGCAGAACTCATGCCATGCAAGTTTCAAAATATGCAAACTTAAGTTGAATTATTTTGGCCATAGTGGAATTAAGAGAATGCAAGTGGTGCAGAATCAGCTTGATGATGCACTTCAATTATTTTGTTGTGATTGTGTACAGTTTGGGGCATGTTCAAATGGTGTTACTTCAGCCCAGTTCCATTGGTAAACCCTGATCAAATCAAGCTGGGGATCTATTGGGTGGTCCCCTTGTCGGGGGTTGGGTTGAGGGTTGGGACCCCGGCCGTGGGGGGGCTTGGCACGGTGACACATTTGAATGAGAGAGATATTATGAAGGAGAATGGGAGGGTGTGCGAACGGGAGACAGTGTTATCTCAAGAGAAACGTTTACAGTATAATCAGGTTCCATGCAAGGACCAAAACAATCTTACCTTTACACAGAGTTGAATTAAATGGATCCCCTGCTCTCTTCCCCTCAGTCCCTCTTTCTCAAGCTCTCCCACTCGCTCTGTCTCGCTTTAGCTGGTGGGGACACACAGCTATTTTTGCTTTCTCTTGTATAACTCAATCTGCCGCGCATTCACGCGCACAGTAAGGGGCTGTTGGTGCAGCGAAGGACTGTTTGTGTCCACACTAAAAGCATTGTGACCGTGGTCTCGACATTTGTCTTAAAAACACTGCGAGTACTCTTTCCTAATTTGTGCAGATATGAAAGAACATTCCTGGCTCAAATATACAACATAGCATGCAGCTCTCCTCTTTTCCCAGCTGAATAGGGGATGAAAGAGGAGAGTAGTTGAATAGACCATTGAGATCCATCCTTCCCCATTCTGCAGCGCTCCTTTGGGACCTGACTGCACACCAGTGACAGAGCTGCAGCCCTTGGCGAGGGGACTGGATAATCTTACAGAGCTCTTCATCAGTTAATTACCGTTCTTTCTTTTGAGGAGCGGGAGGCGAGGTGAAAGGGGGGTCGTAAAAGAATCTCAAAGCCCCCCAGCTAAGCTCTGGGTCACTGATTGACTGCATCAGAGCACTGTATGACAAAGCGAGCTCACTTAAGGGGGTGGGGTTCAATCTGAGCCCCTGCATTAATAACAGACCTTTGTTGTCCCTGTAACAGCATTCATTTGGACGCATCTTGTTCTAATAGGTCGGGGTTAGAGTAACGCTTTTCTGTGAAAGTGCTTCTCTTTCCAATCAAAATATGAATTTGCAGAACCCAAAAGATCTTCCAAGACCACTTCAGATCAGGAAATATTGCCTACATGGTTCTTCTTTCTGATGATACATTGCCGTACTTCTGTCTAGAATGATCAGTTTTTCATAGTACGGAAACAGACATACTCCTCTTGGGCAGCTGGGAAAGTGAGTACAGCTGCAAAAGCTCTTACGAGGCAACAAAGAAGCAGAAGAGAAAGATACAGGGAGAATGAGCTTGTGAGAATAAGTGAGTATGCACAGATGTAGGAAACAGACCATCTCCTTGAAAGATCTATTCCTCAGCCTGGCCTCCAATAGGGAGGGTTTCCTCCTGTCAGAGCGGGATGGGCCTGGATAAAAGGAGATATTTCCAGCATACTGTAGAAGCAGAAAGAGAATGCTCAGGGAAATAGAGGAAATGAGCAGAAGATGCTCTTGGCAAGATAGGAGGGCAAGAGGAAAGTCCTTCGAAAGAGCGCTGCTCAACAATCACTGAATAATTAATGAAAGCTACAAAAAAAGGGTTTTAGAGGGAGTTTTATCAGGTTTCTCTGAAAGGACAGAAAAACGAAACAAACGTCCTCCACCAGCCGGCTGCTGGAAAATAAGTTAAAAGGTCATGCAAATCCCGTTGACATTTCAGAATGTCAGGTTATGAATGCATCCAGTAACGGGGCTTTTGCAGCAAACAGGTGTTCTGGAAAAGGTTGTGTACGAGGCAGGGGCCTCTTATCTAATACGGTGCTGTTGTAGGAAACACTTCCTCAGATGGCTGCCTCACAAATATTGACGCATGGCTAAACCTTCAGAGTTGTCAAGGTTCAAAGAACTCCCAGTGATGATCGATATCCATTAACGTACACTCAGTCCATCTCAGTTCAGAGTTTGGTCTCAAAAGGATCGCTCTGGGAAATGGTGTCATCTCAGGAATGTTAGGTCATTGGTTTTCAGTTGTCTTGACTTGAAAATAGACAAAAACCCCAAACCTGTTGGTTCTGTTCCAGACTGAGGAGTTCAGGAGGTCTGGCGCTCAGTCTATTCCTGATTTGTGTCTCTTTTCTTACATCCCCTGCACTCATCTTCTTTCCCCCCTTCCTTTTTATATCTTGGCCTGTTGCTAGTTTGATTCTGCCCCCATCCGAGTGTCTGAGATTACCTCTGATTTGGGTTTAAAAAACATTCCACATGTGAAATACAGCAACATTTCTGTAATTGTAACATCTGGGATTATGTTACTTCAATGTTTTTCACTTGAATGGATTTGCCATGCAGTTGTTCTGCGTCTTGCAGCTCTCCCTGTTGTTGCCATGCTTGGCAGACTCATGCCGTTTCATCTTGGTTGAGAAATCTTGAACAACAAAAAGGGAAGTTTAACCCTTGCTCGGTTGATTTATGAGAGATGTTGAGCTTTGTGTAACGCCTCCCTTCCACCCCTTTCTTTCCCGAAGAGACCCCCAACTTTGTTCATGCTTCACTGGGCACATTGGCCTTAAACCTCCCATGGCCTTCTAACTTTCCCTGGAGGGAGTTTCGGCATTCAGACATTTCACCAGGCTTTAGTTTCCCCATTTTGCCTCCCTGATCCCGGAATATTGAATAATAAACCACAGTAAAATCACTTTATCCTCGTTTTTAATGGTGATGTAAGTCATCCCCAACTCCCCCTTTGCAGTCATATCCAATGGTCATTTATAGTGTATGTTTTGGCTTTTTGACCCTTATGCCTAAAGCAGAAATACTTTTGTGCCTTTGTTCTAGTAATTTTGCCTTATCGTCTCTGACATCACTCTTGTGGTTAATTTAGTGCAATAAGACCTCATATTCTGAAGGGCAGTAACCAGCAAGGCCCCCCAGAAAGTAATAGTTTTTGTCCTTTTCACCTCATGGTTATGTCCCCTGCCACGTCCATCACACACTTTAATCATGTCAGAGTAGGGACATGACATCATGGGAACACATTAGAGCCAGATTGGCGGTAATAGAGATGTCATCGTGGACAGAATATGCTGCACCGTACCATTTAGGCTCAACAAGTTATTTCATGTCAGGAGTTTCATAGTCATTATGACTATGATTATTTGGTTGTGTTGAGTTACGTATTGCAGGCCCACACAGTTTGTCAATATGATCTTTTGCAAGGACAAACAAGTTTAAGCCTTGCTTTTGTCACGATCTGTCTGTGTTGTGTTTTGTCTTGTCTTTTTCTGTCTTTGGTTTCCTGTTTTATTTTGTAAAGTGTTCACCCCCTTTCTTGCCTGTTGCTTTCTGTCTGTTTTCCCTCCCTGATTATCCGATTGTGTTCACCTGGTGCCCCTGTGTTTTCTCCTCCCTCCTCACCTGTCTCTTGTTTGTTTGATTAGTCATGTGTGCATTTAGGTTCTGTGTTTTCTGTTAGTCTTTGTGAGTTCCTTGTTGTAGTTTGACATTGTTCACGGGGAAGAGTTCTGTTTTTGTGTCATTTAGCCTTGGAATAAAGGTGTTTTTTCTGAGAAATCTGCGTTTGGGTCCTGCCTGCTTCGCTCATCCCTGACAGAAGGAACTCACCAAGGATGGGCCCAGCAGATCCTTTTGAGTTGGAATTACTCAGTTTTTCCTTTTCTTTGGCTGTCTGCTCTGATAAGTGGAGGGGAGCGTCTGGAGTTCAGCAGCGAGAGGCTGCTCTGGCTGAGGCACACCAGATGGCTATGGAGAAACCAGGTTTAGTGAAATTCTTACCTGGCTGGATTTTGGACTTCCTCTCGGTGTGTGATTCCCAACCTGCTAGCCCCAGGCATGCTAGCTCCCTGCCTCCCAATTCCCAATCTGGCGCCACACCCCTCGGTGTGTTCCGTCTGGAGTCGGCTTCTGCTTCTTCCCCAATTCCTGCTCCTGTCCAGGAGCAATTCTCTGGAATTCGTCTGGCTTTTGGAGGTCCACGGAGCCTCCAAAAGGCTCCTAAGAGAAGGAGTCGCAGGTCCAGGCTAGCAGCCCTAGCCCCAGAAGCCATGCTTTGGGCTCCAGCACAGGCCCCAGCAGCCATTGGCCCTGTCTCAGGTTGACTATTTTCATTTCCTCGCTCCTCGGTCTCACCGGAAGTTGATTTGTCTGCGCCATCTTGAGTACCGTCCCATGGCTCTTATTTCTGCCGGAGGACCGAGGATTGAGGAGCGAGGAGCGATAATGGAGTAGCGGATAAGTCGAGGGGAACACGCCAG